AAAGACATGAGAAGCCTGATTGGATAAGTGCACAGGGACTGCTGGGTAACTACGCGCTTGGCCCAATCATGTTGCTTCCCTGTGTTAAGAAAGTCTCGCTGTGTTTGTACTCTCACAAGACTTCCTCTGAGAGTTTGTTCTTTATAGCTCTGCGCTGCCACGTGGCAGCAACCATTTTACAGCTTGAACTGAGCGAGTCACTTCGCTCTGCTCTGTGCTCTGGCTATTTGCTTGGCATTGGCCTAGCGAATTTTGTTGGTTTTTACTCTTGCTGATTATTTATTTCATTCTCTTCATGGAGGGAATTCTTACTTCGAGTCTCCCTGCATATTTATTGTGGAATAGGCTGAGTGAGGCCTTCGGGCCAATCCCCTTGGGCCTGAAAGGGCCTCTGCATCTCCAGCACTCGGAGGAGTGCTCTACTGAGGCAGGTGCTGCGGCAGGCGTCCTCTCCACCAGGTGCGTGGTTTTTACACCTTTCCCCAGTGGTGAGTGTGGGCAGGCAATAATTGTCTTCAGGCAGGGTGCCTAATAGGACCCTTGGTGGACACCTTCCCCCCCTGGTTGGTTGTTGCCAGCGATGCTTCCTGGCTATTTGCATCTCTTGTTGAGACTTGGTGAAGAGTGGCCTTTGGCCTGGTGGTAATCATCCAAGGTTTGGTGATTTTGCATAGGACCCATGTTACACTCACTGGAGGGAGTCATGCCACGCAGTAAGGCCCAATAGAAGAGGTGCACAGCTACGGCTATGCCTGGCTATAGTCACTCTGGTTTGAAGAGGCCTTCTCAATCTACCAGCAGAGATGATGAGATTGCTGCTCAGCTAGCACAACTGGGCAAGACAGTGCAGGCCTGTGTTGTGGTCTGTACCCAGCTCCATCACCAATTAAGGTAAAGGCTCCATCACCAATTAAGTTAGATGCAATGATGGCATGGCTGAAGGTTTACTGAAACAAGGAGGCAGCATCTTATTTATTTCATGGTTTTCCTTGGGCTTTCGTATCCCTTACAAAGGTTCTAGGATACACCTCTATGCTCCCAATGCTCGTTCTGTGAGGGAATTGCCAAATATCATAAGGGACAAGCTAGTGAAAGAGATAGCTGC